CTTTGGGGTTGAAAAAAGGAACAATTATGCCCAATAGTACAAAGAAGAGATCAGGCACTTGGTTAAAAACCAAGGAAGCCTGACTTGAAGAATTCAAGTTTCTTTTATTCCAAAGGACATCAAATAAGATTTCATGACTTTCTGTAACAAAATTAAGATGATAGAACACACCTGAATTTGTTGCAGGTATCCTTCCTAATACTCAGGCTAATCCACTCAAAATGGTTTCCAGATTATTAAAACTGAAGCTGCGTTTATGCAGTAGAAAACAGGAAGAACTGGACCAAATTGGAGAAAGGGAAAAACAAAAGATAATCGGCTTTTGTAGTGACTACTATTCCTTTCATTTATACTAATCAAAATTGCTTTTGAAAAATATATATTTACTATAGCAGTTTGAAAGACAGTGAAATATTTTCAGAATGGCTTTGCAATCTCTGCCCTATTTTGATATTCTCCAGGGAAAAACTGTTACCACAGATTTAGAAATTCCACTCGAGAAGGAAACCATTGACAAAACCTGAAGATCTGAACTCCCACTTCAAGGAAACTTATCTTTTTAGGACTGCTGTCAGTTGGTTTAACACTGCTTCAAGTGTCAGGAAGCCCTTCTAATACAGGTGCATGTTTAGAACAGTCATATGTCTAGACAGATTTTTTTTTTTCCTCAATATTTCTCAAAAGCAAAAAAGCACACTGTGGAATTAATGCAAGTGGCTAGTTAACTATCTTTGAAGGATGATACACCTATTTAATTCCTGATCTAAGAACATTAATTTGCAAAACTTTGATTGGCATGCATAATCTGTGATACAAGGTCAAGTTAACCAGTCTTAAGCTATTTGAAAGAGTTATTTCAACTCAAGCTTTCTTTTATACCTGCACCCTTTACAGAGCCACTGCCCACCCTCCCCGGGGTATAGTAGTTCTGTCCCTCAGTGCTTTATAGATTTCTAAGTCACTTGCTCCTCACCCTAACATGCAGACACTTGGTTTAAATTGAATCTGTTCTCAGGAAAAACATTGCCACTTCTACAACATTTGTACAGTATGGGCATTAAGGCAAGGACATATACTCTTTTACTAAAATAAACTAAGCAAAGACAGAGAGAGGATTATAGTATATGAGAGAATGGCAGCTTCAGAATCTGGGTTTGTTTTCATTCGTATAGTCAAAAATCACTATGGCTATAACATAGGAAAGCACATATGGACACTATTTTTTTTTTCCTTTTTTCTTTCTAGCCAATTAAAAACGGGGCTAGAAAAACCACGAAATTTAGAAAACAATCACCCCCAAGAACAGGAAACAAAACACTACATAACTAACCTAATTATAAAACAGCTACAAACAGCACGCAACTTCCTACTCAAACACCACATTTCCAAAACTAGATTTGCCTATCAATTAATGGCACAGAAATGAGATAGCATTTAATGTAGCAGAACATGGAATAGCCAAGTTTAAGTTAACAGACAACCCTGCCAGCCAGCTGAATACATGAATCTGTAGATGAAAATATGCATTTTTATATTGGTGTTGCACTCCAAGGTCATAATAGAGTCAAAATAAGATCATTAAGTGTAACAAGCTGATACTGATGAGCTTCATTTGTATGCAATAACAAAAACTTAACATCTAGTTTATATCTTCAACTGAAACTGTTTTTCACATCATTAGGGAGCCAGAAGATAGCAAGAAAAAAGTACACAATAGAATCCCTTCCACCCCATATTTACTTTGGCACAAACATGACATTTCTGTCCTTGACTGTCAGCTCTTATTTTAATATTACTCACATTTTGGTTTTCCTTCCCAAATAGCATTACTTTTCTTTAAAGACTTACCACACACATTACATGTTTGTAGTTTACTCCTCATATTGCCGTATAACATTATGCTTTATACATGCCACACGCCAGAAGTTATTCCTAACTCAAGCTAGTTCATAACTCTAATACTTAAACTTCCCTATAATTTTTCACATCCAGCATTTCTTTTCATAGCTGTTTGCTTCCTAGTTTATAACCATGGCTGTTAAGTGCTTATCTTCCATGACAAGAATTCAAGATCATCATTCCTGTGAAGGTAGTTAATTTAGAAAGCAGACCAGAATTTGTCACAGCCTATCAATAACTATTAGAATTGGACACTATGGTGCACAGTCGATCTTTGAGCAAATTATCTGCTGTGTATTACTGGCAAATATATAAATGATTTAATGGTTTGCTTTTGGTCACCAAAAGAGAATGCTGTTTCCACCCATGAAATACCTTAGCAGCTTTTCAGATCTCTTAGCATTCAGGAACTTAAAACAAGCAGGCTCAGACACGCTCCCAAGACTGGTCTAACAGCTACCAAAAGATGCTTAACCTAGGATCCACAAGCTATAACTGAAATGGAAAATGCCATTCAGCCTTTTCAAATAGTGGCAAAGGGCACTTTTAGCCATTTGGTCTGCAATCAGAAACAGAATCACAGAATGGTTGAGACTGAGACCTCTGGAGGCCGTGCAGTCCCCTTGGTAAAAGCAGGGTCATCTACAACAGGTTAGTTAAGACCCTTCCCAGTCCAATCTGGGTTTGAGTATCTCCAAGCACAGGGAGACTCCACACCCCGGTGTGCCTGCTGAGAAGCCCAGAATTAAATACAGCACTGCAGATGGGTCTAACCAGAGTTGAGTAGAGGGGCTGGATCACCACCCTTCCCCTGCTGGTGATGCTCATCCCAATGCAACCCACAGTGATGTTGAGTCTTCTCTGCCACAAGAACGCATTGCTGAGTCTACATTCAACTTGTCTACCAGCCTCACCTTTTTTCCAGGTTCTTACTAGGGTATAGTGCCTACCCAGTGGTAGCAATATTGTCCTGATATATATAAAAAAAAATAAATCAAGTAATAGACATTATCAGATTCACTATACAGCAACTATACCATATTTTGAAATCTCTACAGCAAAGTTACATTATTAAGCATTAGAGAACATTTCAATGCTCATATCCTTCAGCAAGAAAGGAACAAGAACACCCTAGAGAAGTTGTCTTATTAAACCAGCAAAACCACAAATTCTGTATAACAATCAAGTCTCAGTATCTTACCGTTGTAAAAGCTGTTCAGAATGAGTATTACCATATTGTAGGAAAGACTGAGCACAAAATTGAGAGACTGATGGAAGTCTATCCTCATTTAGCCAAAAGGTAAACTTTGAGTAAAATGGGTAATTTTAGCAAACTAGAAGAAATATGGCCTCCGTGCATTCAACATGTGCAACTGAGTTCTGTGTTATTCAAGTTACTCTGATGTTATGCAAATAAAAATACATAGGCTTGAAGGTAGAAGTTAAATAAGTTAAATAGTTAGAAGTTAAATAAGCTTATTTAATTCTTTTTTTAAACACAAAAGTTCCTATTTGGCAAACAATGAAAAGCTTTAAGGCTTCACAAGTGAGGTGCTTCATACCACAGGGTCTCGCAATGTATAGTGACAGACTTCCATGCTCATGTCTCAACTAAAGCTGAGCATTACTTAATCAGGCACAACAAAACTTGCTATGAAAGTGAAAAATATTTCCATAGTGCTTTTTCAGCAGACCAAGTAGGTATGGTAACAAGATGACTCAGTAGGAGATGAGCTCCCACTCAAAACAGAGGGAAACATCTACCAGAAGTGGAAGAGCTGCTGACCATTCAGCTACAGTTATTCCAGAATAATTGTATTTTCTGATTCACGTGCACAGGCTATTTTTAGTGCAGCACAGCAAACTCTTCAGCAAATTTCTTCAGGACTATTTTCTATTAATAGGTTGAAACCCACTTCCCCTCTCCTTTCCATTCAACCTCTACTTGCTGTTTCCTTTTTGGTATTTACCGAAATCACTGCTGGTTGAACAGGATCAGACTGATAAAGCAGCGAGGAGTAAGAGAGGTGTGACAGATACCATCCTTGTACAAGACAAAGAACAGGTACATATGCTGTTATTTCACACCAGTAACAAAAATCTCTTCCCCTTAACTAGATCAGAAAGATGTGTTCAACCATGTCACCTAAGAAAGGCAAAGCACAGAACTCATATAATACAACTGAACCCTCAGCACCTTTTATCTTTATAGGAGAAAGATTTTAACCAGAAAAGTTGCATACCTTGTAGAATCAGGAATATCAGAAGAACTTAAGATTCAAGAATCACTGAGGATCAAATAGCAAATGCTACCTAAAATCAGCAAAGCATTATTTCTCTAAATAAACAGCAAGTTCTTAAAGAATCAGTTTTAATGCCCTTGTGGCTGTCAGGATTCGTTGCTCTGCATAAAGCTACAAGGTGCACAAACTCCATACACTTCACAAGCAATTATGAGATAGAAGCAAAACAAACTAGATAACCAGGGAAAAAGGAAAGTGACAAGCACAGAATTGTAAACAGTGAAATAAGCAAACCAGCAAAATATATCTATGGACCATGCAAGATACACTGGCTACTAAAAATCCCAAATTGTATGAAGATTTGTTTTCCAAAGTATACGCCAGCTTTCCACTCGATGCATTAAATAATAGCATGATACAATAAAACAGTTGCTCCTGCAGTCAGCACACGCTATTCTGCTCAGTCTGGTCACCTACAGATACCATCTAAGTGTGGCTAGACAGATGGGAAGATCCACCAACTGCTTAATCAGCAGCCTAAAGGCCTCTAACAAGAAATTCTGTATGCCATCTGAGAATTATTCTAAGTTTTAATAGGGCAAGGTGTTTATCTAAAAGCATTTAATTTGTGACTAAAAGTTAGGCCTTCAATTTGGCTTATTTAACACATCAAAATACAATTTATGTCAAGTAATGAGAACAAACTCAGGCCTAGAAAGATTAACAGATAAGCATTAGCAATAAAGGCATGTTAGTACATAAAAATAGCTGATACAGTGCTAAAGCAGCTTCTTGTTATTTGCCAAGTTCCTCTTTACTACCGCTTCATTAGTAAGTTAAGTGCATATTGCTACCAACCTCAATACCACTTTGTCTTGCTAGTTTTACAGCCGTATTGTAGTAGCCACAACGTAAAAGATGTTCCACCATCATACGATCCATACGTTTCTTCTTCCACATGTTTGCAGCAGCTGGCTGGTCACTACTATGTTCTTTCAGATGTTCAATCCTACGTTTGCAGAGTTTTGCACTTTCATCTTCAGCCTGGATTGATTCAACTGCCTAAAAAGTAAAAATGAACAGGAACAAATAAGAGCTATATCTTTTCAATTTGCTTTTAAAGCAAAACACAGTAAGAATTGTTTGTAAGCATTCTTTGCATATTACACAGTTACTCCCAATAGTGTTTGGGAGTTTCTAATTTATTTAGAACGATGTTTCCTATGGCAGTGCATAAGTTTCAGCTGGTCCAGTTCAGAGATATTCTTGCACATAAATAAGTTTTGATGTATTTAATATTACGAGTATACGCATTTTTCTGCTTAACGTGCAGTTAGTCCAAAACCCGCAATGTATCAACCACAGCAGGAGCTGCTGTAACAGTCTGCAAAGACCTTTGTGAAGGTTTGCAGTCATCTGGTCCAAACAGTTGAAAAATCATGAATTTCCACCTCTAACCTATGCATGGCTTCTTCCTTAAGCAGCTGTCCTATTCAATTAGTTCTACGGAGGAGTGATGCAGAGTAAACCCACATTACTTCTAACACACTGGAGCCATTTTAATCAGTCATGCAATAATAAAAATTAAAGAAACATTTGGCCCCTTGGCACCTTTAATTCAAGGATCTTAGAGGATTCAAGGATCTTTTTCAAAAATTACCAGCTTTTATTTACTTATTTATTTTACTCACCTCTGCTTCTCTGGAAACATGGATCTACTGTTAGGAAAACAAATTTGTCCAGAGGAAGCAGAATGACTTTGTTTTGGGTTTTGTTTTGGTTTGGTTTTTGTTGTTGTTTTTTAGTTGGTTGGTTTGGGGTTTTTGTTTTTGGTGTTTTTTTTAAAGCCAACAGATTGGCATGTCCAGTGCAAAACACACACCACAAAATATCTCCACAATATTTTTTTTTTTTCTAATTAAGAACACACAGTCATGTCAACTTATTTTCCTTCTGCCTTCAAGTTATATGGCTGATTAGTTATGCTGCAAATTTTAACAGGCAATTTTGTTACAGACATGATGTAATTCAATGCTCGCTGACTCAGTATACAGCATGTGACAGTTGTGGGTCATGCCAGGCTACAGAACACAAGAAAGCCCGCAGTACTTTTATATGCTTGCTAAGGTAAAAGCAAACCAGAAGACAATGGAGGTTTAGCTCCTTTCCCATCTGCCGTATATCACTAGTGATGCAATTTCAGGTTGAGTTGTCTTTACTTGTGGTGACTTTAGGCTCGCTGGCTTGTGTTTGAATAACTGCACAGCTATGGGAACTAGAAGGTCCATGCGGGTTTGCCAACCAAGTATAAACCAAATAACCAGGCTGGATTTTGGCAGCCCACTTTGCACCCCACGCTGGCACAGCTACCTTCCCAGTACTCAAGCTATTCTGGCTACAGCAGCACCCTTGGATAACAGCTCCAGCAGCACAGGTTGATTCTAATTGCTTTTACCATACATGACCATTTACAGACTTCTTCTGGAAGGATCAATATTTGATAAACAAAATCAAATAAATGAAAGTTTGTGCAAGAAAAGCCTACTGAGCATTTGCCCCGACTACACCTGACTCTGATCTGGCCCTTGATGCCAAATTCAAGTATCTAAACCCCTAGTCACTATATGAGGCAGTTTTCAACTAAAATTTCTGTAAACATCTATAGCTGGAGTTACTTTTATTACTGAAGTCTGATTTACTTCTATTGCTGAGTCTCACTTTATTTTGTAACATATGGTTTGGAGACCAGTATTTTGTTTAAGTTATAAACTGAGTCTTTTCCTATTTAGCAAGAAAATACTAACTCAAGCCAAAACTCACTTTCACTTGTTAGATGTCTGCAGTATTATCAGACGTGAAGGCAACCTTAAGAATTATTCTGACTACCACTAGGAAAATTCAATGCAGGTTGAATCCCTTCTCATTCCAAAAGGCTCTCCTTATATGGTTTTGTAGCTGGACTTTTACAGCTCTTGCTGTTTTTTTGATCCTTCTTGTGCATTCAGAAAGGCTACAGACCCTTTTCAAAATTCTCTGAAGCAAGTCTATCTGGACTTACCCTGCTGGACATTAATAGAACTTGAGGGAACAACCATATTAAACAGGATACAAAAGGGAAAACACAAAGGCTTAGGTTTCCTGAGGATCATTTTCAGAACCCAAGAAACCTGCTGTGTTCAAAAAGCTCTTTTTTAAGAGCGATTAAGGTGTTAAATAAAGGAACCATCTAATTCTATTATGGCCATCTCAGCAGTTCATCAGATCCTTGTCTAAACACAGGAAGAAACAGAGATCCCACATGGGTCCAAAGGCCCTAAAGAAAACAATCATTTTGCTCGGGGCAAAGATTACAGAGAAGACAGTTGGAGTTGAGGGTTTGGAGCAGAAACAAGACCTTTGTATTTCAGAAGACTTTTACTGTTAAACAGATTTTTTTGCCTTTTGTTCTGAGAAGCTATAAGATTCCCCACAGTCTTTCAGGCAGTCAAAAACAAATGAGCAATTACACTAAAATGGAGCCTTGCACCCAAAACATTCAGCAATGCCTTCAGACACACCCCCACAGTCAGCAAAGATTTAACAAGTAAATAACTTACTCCTCCACATCATTACTACACACCTACAAGCAAAATCTAACACCTCTTGCAGAAATAGCAGTAATTTCTTTCTCTGTGAGAGAAGTGAAGAAAACATATCTTTCAAGACTTCTATGTCTCACAAACCAAAGATGAAAATAGCAATTAGATTTATGAAGTCTTTAGCAGAACAGCTTTTCAACACCTAGCTGACCTGTTCAAGCAGAAAACCCCAAATCAACATACATGACAGTGTTATTTTCATGATACAAACCTCCAAGGTATTTTGACGCTTCACTTAATATAGTCTCAAGATTTATATCTGTTGGCTATTTCATTTAAGTTTTAATGAAATGACTCTGTTACCATTTGCTTCATCTATTTATTTTTAGAGAAGCACTGCTCTAAAGCCAGGCAAGAGAGCTATTTTCATTTTTCTGCAAGATTTGTTTCAAGTAAGTGTTCTGATGAGTCTCAAGATGAGTAATATTCCCATCCAAAATAAGGATGCCTTATACTATATAGTTTACGTTTTTAACTCACTCTTCTTAGAGGTGGTAAAAGCATAAATGTTTGGCTGCATTTCATTAAAAATGTTCAAGCTTAACAGCTAGAAGCAGGTTATCCTGCTAAACTTTGTTTAAAATGCTTTTAGTAGTATTCCCTAGGAACCTTCCAACTTGCAAGTTTAGCGTTTACAGAAAATGTTCAAGTAACAATCCAGGACAACTTGCACCTTCTTCTGCAAAGAGCCCTCACCACTGCATACAACTACACCCACTCCCCCTGAAACTGAAACATTTTTCAGACTCATCTTCTACCTGCTGTTGCTCCTCAAATGATCAATTAACGCAACTTCACAAGCCTTTCCATTAGACAAGCAGGAATTGATACAAAGCAATTCAGTTTGCTACTTTTTATGTGGGTAGAGAAATTCTTTTTCAGCGTCATAAATATGTATTAATTTTACCTTTAACAGAGGTTTGTTAAACTTAGTCATGGAACACCAAGTCATGTTTCATAAGCACAGAGAAACAAGATGCAGTAAGTTTTGGTGTTTTGCTGTGCATTCTAAGGCCTTTGTTTACAGTGACAGTAATATCTATATCTTGAAAGGAAAATCCAAGCAAACAGCATTGCAGAAAACTACTTCTGTTAACTTTGCAAAGACAAAGCAATCGCAAGGTAGAACATCACTTACCTTTCGTTTCAGAACACTGAGTTTTTCAACTACTCCATCCAGGAGACTAACAACTGAATCCACAGCAGGACAACTGCTCAGCGTCTTCTCCAGCTCTGCCACCACCATTGTAACGTGGCTGGTCTCTCGATCAATGTTTTTCTGTGCAGCTCGAAACCGTTTGTTCAGTGTTTCATATGGCACCTAAATAAGAAATATCAAGTCATTAGAATTTCTATACTAAAAAAGTCAGGTCTTCTAGAGTTTAAAGAAACTGATGATTTTATCTGATATAGTCAGAAGAACACCTAGGTTCCAGGACACTAGAGGACACTGAACTTGAGTTCATATATCAAAGCTCTTATTTAAGCCCTCTCAGCAAGGAGCTAACACTTCAAAGATGAAAAAAACAGCGTCAGGAAATAAAAGCTGGCAGATTCTTTTCTGATACCAGTTTCACCTATTCTGCTTTGACTGTAGCAAGCACTGATGGAAACAGTTCAGGGAGAACAGAAAGCAAAGACAAATGTGTATCTAAAAAAGGAAAGCTACAAGTTAACTACCACTAAGTGATCATCCTTCAGAAGATGGCTTTTTAACTTTACATTTTTTTCCTCAAAGAGTTAATAAAAGAAAAGAAAGTTACCTTTGAGAAAGCATGTATAACACATATTGGCTATTGAAAAATTTATACATAGTACACCACTGGTTATTCAGGATATCTAATAGGTCTCCTACCTATATCTGCTCATGAAGGACTACTTTTTAATATTAATTCCAGTAGGACTATAATGAATGCTAAGAGAAACTCCATGTAAGTTTTCTTCATTTAGTAAAAAAGTCTACACTGTATGACTAAGTTTGTTAAATTCCTCCAAAGCTCCGTGCTTTAGCTTAGAGGTCTCCTGTCCTACTTGTCCCACACCTTTGTAGGACAGCCATATCAAAACTGTTATTGATGGCCATTAAGGATACATATATGGGAGTAATCTACAGCCTAGTCAAATTTTAGGGTACTAAATGATTTGGGGAAAGTTTATTGTAAACGTTAAGCTACTTCATGTTGCTTCCACTACAGTGACAGCATCAGCAATTTTGACATGAAGTTCTATTACTCCATGGAAACAGGAATTTTAGAATTAAAAACATTCCAGTGTCATACACTTAATTCATTCTTTTATCTTGAAAAAAAATCATGAGAAGTTCCTTCAGGTAGTTATGATAATCTTGATTGCTTTTCCATTAATCAAAGGCACAATTTAGCTAGCAATCAGATTACACATATTAAAGGTAAAACAGGAAATGCAAATCAGTGTTCTGTTTGGTACATATCACGTATATGTTTGATTACATATCTTTCAAGTATATCACTTCTAATCAATTATATCAAGATTGCCTCCATTTTCTTCCTTCTAGTCATTTGCATGCAAGAAAGGATCCCCAGGGTCCAGTCTCCTTTTGGGCTCTATTAGGAGAGAGGTTACTACATAACCATTGCAATTCACAATGAGAGATGCACTGATAAACTGTTTAGGTTCACAGTAAGGATGATGAGCCAAAGTACTTGCTTTCCAAGACTCTGTATGACCTACAATAGGTTGCTCTTATTTGTAATAGAAGTGTAACACAAAGATACTCCTGATAAGATATGAAAAAGCTCCTCTTCCTCTCAGAAAGAATTAAATGATCTATTGAACGTTTTTTAGTGTCTCAAACTAAGATCTAAACAAACGACAGAACAAGCCTTTACCACAGGAAGTACCAAGCTAAAACAATTATTATTTTCCTTATGCATCCTCCCCTAAAATCTCAGCACCACCACTCCTCCCCCAAACTCAAACCACATAAAACATCACAATTAATAGTCTTCAATGCTTCATTATTTCTCTATATAACCACCCTTTCTTCCATCTTTAGCTCTTATCTCCCTTCTCCATTTTCACAAAAAAAGATGAAAGGTTTTGAAAACCCAAAGATAGAATGGGTGGTTTGGGAGGGGCATTATTTTGACATCTGCTTTTAAGCATGGAAGCTTGTTTCCAAGTCCAAGAAATTATGCCAGGCAGCATTCAAACAACTTCTTCCTTTCCCCTGCGCTGCACTTTTCTTACTACTCATTGAAGAACATGTTTCCTTCAGTTACTTGCATCTACTGGATTTACTTTCTGCAAGTACTTTGCTAATCAGCTTTCCACACCACGCTGAAAAGCTACATCAGTCAAGACTTTCATAAGCTACTATTGATTTGAGGTATCTGTCTGACCACAAAAAAGTGTTTTTGTTACGTTTTGAGCAGTCAGTTGAACTGGACACACAGATCTAGTCAGTTTTAGAAAAAAAAATAATCTTAGCTTTAATCTCCCTTTTCCCTAGTTTCTTATCTGCACACAAGAGCAATAACACTTCCGTTTCCCATGCTCTGTCTCTTTAGCGTGCAAATTCCTGGCACAGTCTGTGTTCATATGACATTTAGAACAATTGGACTTTCAATTTCAGCTGGCATCATTATATATCATTTAACTGTGTCTAGGTGCAATAGATTTTGAATCTTGTCGTATCCATTTTTTTTCTCCCCCCAAAATGATCTCAATCTCCTTTGTGGAAAAGGCTAGGAGTTGAACTGTTTTACTAACACATACTCTAAAAGTAAACACAAATACAAATATTGCTAAACATAATTTTAGTGTACTATAACAATAGAAATGACTTTAAAGGTACAATAAAAATATTTGCACAACTGAAACCGAAAAACCTCTTTACCAGAGTTTTTCATAATTTGTATGGGCACTTACTATAGAGCCAGAAGTTTTTACACAATATTTGTAATTGTATACAGGTACAATTGTATTACACTCACTTTACAAGACTAGATTCTACGAATGCCAAAGTTAAGAAATTGCAACCACTACCTTCCTTATTGAGAAAGCATCTTATCTAGACTCTGCATCTTGATCCACTGGTTCTTTTGTTAATCATACAGCTCCTACACTCCAAAACAGACTCAGCTCCCCAGTACTGGCTTGGTTTACCACAGAACTATTCAAAAGTTAACATACCAATAAGATTTTTTGGTTTGTGTGTTGTTTTTTTGTTTTTTTTTCTCCAATAATGAAAATAAGCAGAAGGAAAACATAACAAAAGAATGCTCTGGAAAAATGTAATTCTAAAAAAATCTTAATTATGGTTCACTTTTATTTTCAGGTACCATAGTGACACCAAAGTTTTTGGACTAAGAGACAGCTGCACAATTTGCATATCATTAGCTGCCACCAGCCTACTAGAGACTTTTTTTACTGCCAGTACCATTCTGTGACCAAGCCTGGATTATACAGTTATCCTTTAAGGACAAGAGTGACCTACAGAACTCAGCCTAGGGAAGTTATTCCTTAAGAAAAAAAGATAAGCAGCTACTAAACATTGAAAAAAAAATTGAAATAAAGCAGCAAGAACTGATGGGAAGGTATTGTGTAAAAAGCACCTTACCAACTTGCCCTACTCATTAGAGCTTGAAAAACCACACCTCAGTTGGCTCAACCATGAACATACAGAAGGATGCAAAAGAGAGATGTAAAATATTAGTGGGCATTTAAATACAGTGTTACTAAATAGATTCTGCTTCTTCTGTTCATCAGCATCCACAGCTGCAGACACATTACTCAACTTAAGCATTTACTAATACAGGTCAAACTTAAAAGTAATGAAAAGGAATTTGACTTAAGCTACAACCACCTACGCAAGAGGTAAAGTTACAGTGACAAAAGCTTTTCCAAGATCAAAATTTTGCTACTGTGATGTGAAGGAAAGTCCACTTGACTGGAGGCAAGTGTAGCGTGACTGTTTCCAGGTGCTAAGCACTAACAGCGAGGCAGAGAAAACTGAATAACCTGATCCATGCATTATTTCATTTCAGGAGTTACTTCACTCTGACTTTAGAAAGCCAGAAAACTCTGGTGTGCTGTCCCAGAACATGCTCTGACAACCTCTAGCTGTGGAGACAAGACTCAGGAGAGAATCCTTCTGGGTCTAAAAGCTTGAACTGATGGAAGAGGAGGAAGGACTGCCATGAGAGGTATACCTTGGTTGTTCAGTTAGTGGACGGAGCAGAAAACAGCAGAGCTAAGAACGTCAGAGTCAGTTTTTAAGCTTACACTTAGGAACTCAACTGTTAGCTCTCTGGCCTTCAGCCTAAACATAGTTCTCTTCCAGCCCATGACTGCAAATAAGGTACCAAGGCAAGACCAACTAGTTCTGAAATAATGAAGTGGCTAAAACTGTTCAAATTGTGAAACCGTAGGTAATACTTCTTTTAATAAAGAAATTATTATTAATCAAATTTAACTTGAAATACCCTTAATTTTAGTGACGTTATCTACTAAATATATTTCCATCAAAATAAATATTTAACTAAGCCATTCATTACTAAGTGATACCATTTTCTTGATTTTTATGAATACATATTGAGACTACAAAAAAGCAAGTATTAACTACTTGCGTATATTGTATCATGATGGTTAGCAAACTGTATATACTTCCCAAGTGTTTATTATAAGTCTGTAAAAAAATACTTAAAGAAACATAAATAATATCAAGCTATTGATATTATTTATATTATTGATATATAAATAACATTGGTCAATCCTCAACACAGCATCCCATAAGACACACATACCTTTGTTTTTACATTCACTATCAACATTTTAATGAGATACATTTAGAAAACCTTAAGAAGAGAAGTATCTACCTGCACACTTAGTACTCCATTCATAAATTGAATATACAGAAACATATATATATAGGCTTTTCTCTATAGGCTCAGAGAAAATTGGCTTTAAAAAACATGCCATGAGAACACACCATCTATAGCCTTCAACGATATAGAAAGGGAGAGCAGAATGTGAAACATTTTCCCTTCAGAGAAGTTAATTAGTTACAATGATCAAAGCTGAAAAGTCTCCACTGCTTCAATAGTATTTAAGTTGGTAGGAATCAGACAACCAGACCGGACTTCTTATGCTGGTTTTAGCACCTTGAATTCCACTAAGCAGCTTAATGGCATCTCGAGAATGTGGCAATATTTTTGCCTTCACGCACACTCACAGCTTCCATGAGAGACACAGTCACCCACTCAGCACCAGGGGTTTCCAAACAAACTGAAGGCCTACACTGTTGAAGGGCTTTCTGCCTGAGAAAGTAAAAGATAACAAGAGAAACACGATTTGTGGCAAGATCTTCTTCACAGACGTGTTATAGCCCCTTCAGCCATGATAGAGGAAAAGCAGTCTGAGTCACAGCATCACGCATCCAGCACACGCTACCATCATGACCAACTGATACATCTGCTTTATTCAGCCAGTGTTCAATGTAATAAGCAATTGTAATTACAAGGGCTCTATAGAGAGCCCATCCTCCTTGCGCTCAGCATAAGGAAGATGAAGAAAAGCATCTACAGAATTGAGTTTGTGACCTAGCAACAACCAACAACAGAAAGCTTCAGTACCAAATGCCGCCTTCCTCTTTACTGATAAGGTCTTCTCCTAAGCCTTCCTCAGCAACTGAGTCTGGAGGGAGAGGCAGTATTCACACAAGAAGTCTAGAGCAAGCTGAGGATATACAGACACACAGGACCAGAAGGGAGGGAGCTCACTGATGACACCGCAAAGTTGCTGTCATCTCTGAAATGTCATGAACAGGGAAAGTCCTCAATGACTTAAAAGGGTAAGTTTCTTGTCCCTCTTCCAAAAAGAGAAGCTGAAAGATCATCGATACTCAAGCTGGTCTGTCTCATCGCAGTTCTTAGGAAAGTTATGGAAAAAAATGGAAGCTATTTCCAGGCTCATAAAGTTGTCTGGGAATTGCCAGGCTAGATTTGCTTGACAACACTGTTTGCTTTCAGTGATAAAATGACTACCCCTGAATGAGGAGCACACTGGTGGTGGCCTTTCATGCTATGCTTGACTCCCGAGGAATATTATTAGCTCCAACATATATGCCTTCTTTAACTACCTGCACTATGGTACAGAACACACAATCAGAAAGCTCAGAGGACAACAAACTGGTGGAATGCTTAATAGTGCTGGGTGGCAGAGCTGCCATTTAGAAGAAATGACAAGCTGGAGAAACACACAACTTCACAAAATGCAATTAAGGCAAAAAACAGCCCTGCACCTGGCACAAAACCACCACATCCATTAGCACAGGCTGTGGAATAACTGGCTAGGACCACTTCTGCAGAAAAAGACATTGAGGTTCTGATGGACAGCAGGTTTGACATGAGTCTTGTGGCAACAGACTCTTGCAGCAATAAAAGTTAACCGCATACCAGGCTGCATTAGCAAGACTAAAGGCAGCTCGTGGAGAGGAATAATTGTTCTCTGTGCTCAGCACTCATGCAGACTCACCTGGAACACTGAGTCTGGCCTCCAGGCCACCCCTCCAGCTTCCTTTCCTCCACAAAAGGAGAGAAGTTGACAAACTGGAAAGAGCCTAGAAGTCTACCACCATGATTTTAAGCTGATTGGAGGATACAAAATGCAGGGAGAGGCTGAGAGGCAGGCTTGTTTCACTTGTAGATGAGAAGGCTACAGGGAGTTGGGAACAGCACAATCTGATAGAAGTCCTCCACTACTTAAAGGTGAAGGCCACAGATAAGAGTTCACTAGACTTCTCAGAGTTACAGAGCAAAAAGGAAGAAGTCAGAATTGACAACTAGCAGCAAAATAATTTCAGCTGGACATAAGGAAAAAAATATTTTAACCTGAGAGTTGGTAAGAACTGAAACAGCAGCCCAGAAGGGGGTGGAGTCTCCACCCTTGGAAACTTTCATAACTAGGCAGAACCCTAAGAAAATTAAATTAGCTTTGAAATTAGCCCAGACTTCAGCAGAAGCCTAAACTACACTGTCTGCAGAGGTCCTTTCCTACTTTAATTTTATGAATTCATCTAGAAAGAGACTGGATCATAGCTGCCCATTGCTAATTTAGACACCAAACTCGCCTCCACTGGAAGATATGAATGGCCATACCAGGCAAGACCAAAAGTCCCTCCTCTGTCACTATTCTTTTCCTGACAATATCCAAAAAGGAGATGGCAGTTTGAAAAAAAAAAAAAAGGCAAGAGTATAAAGTTACTAATCCCAAGTAGTCTCTTTGGGCTTCTTGAGCCAGAGGTGGGAGTTTTATAGTAAAAACACCACAGGGTGTTTCTCTTCCATGAGCTCTGCTGGTTGTTGTTGACCTGTAGAATTTTAGCATTGCAATATCCTGCGGTGAGACATTTCACATCCTCAAGCACTGTGTGAAGAAACACTCCTTGTTTTTGACTTGTCAACTGCTAGCCTAATTTGAAACCCTTTTGTTCTTCTTTTGGAAGAAGAAAAAAAAAAAAGGGAACATTCACTTTCTCCTATGTCTTTCATGTCTCTTGATCTGTCTAAACCATTCTTTGAACACAGACATTCCATATCTAATCATTCTTGCCCTTCTGTAGACATTTTCCAGTTCTATTACAACCTTTTTCAGGATAAAGGAAGGGAGAAAGAGAGTCACTCATAGTACTTGAGAGAAGAAGAAACCATGGATTTTGATTGCTACCTAATGATGTTCTCCATTCTTCCCTTTCCAAACACTTTCATTCCAAGCTTGTCAACACTAACCTGATCATTCCCAGAAAACACTCACTAAAACCACAAGATCCCACTGAAGAATGATCATCTCCAAATTAGTTATTGTGTATGTAAGATTAGGACAGTTTATCTTTCCATCATACCTAAAAACTATATCACACTGCACATGTCTATATTGAATTTAATCTATTTAAATATCCATTCAGCCTCTCATTATTCCTCTGTAATGCTTCACACTTGGATTGTATTTGTAATATCTCAATTATCTTACTACCATCAAGAAAACTAGATCAACTCAACACTTACTTTCTCTCTTCCAGGGTGTTCAAACAGCTGAACATTAGCAGTATGGCAGAGACACCAGCAGACCCCTAATGCTAACCTTTTCCCACTACACTGGTTACTAACTCTTGATGTTTGTTTCTTATCTTGACCAGTTACCTTTCCACATAAGGACTTGTGTCTTCTCTCTTTCAAGAGTTCCTGGTAATGGATATTTCCAAAAACCATTCAGTAATACAAATAAACTATCTATGAAATCCACCACCATTTTTTTTATTTTTTGTTTGCTGGTTTGTTTTTTTTGTTTGGTTGGTTTTTTTAACATAGAAGTTCAATATCTTTGCTTGGCATGACTTTCCTTTTTAGAAGTCACAATAACTGATGGACATTATTCCATATTTGATTAGTCAGGACAGTATTTCTGCATCAATAAGTTATTGGCTGGAAGGGCAAAATCAATTATATGTGTTAAGACTCCCACTAAAATTTTACTTAAAAGTAGAAGCACTGAAACAAAGTCTGCTTTGTCTGTCTTCCACAGCTATCCAAAAAAATCCTCAGACTACTTCAGGAAAAAAATTGTTTACCAGCATTGATCAGAGAATTTACAGAGAATTAAGGGGAGGACTCAACACAGGAGAAAGATTTTCCCTAAGTAAGTTTATTTATTTATAAATTGTTACATCCTGCATTTCTACTCCTTTGGAGGTACAGGATGTTAGGCCAAGTGTAATGGCTACTGCGTGAAACTTTAAATACCAGCCTGATGTTGCCCACAAGTTTTCCTAACTGATACACAGTAACACTGAAAGATGTTTATTTCAAAATTGAAGTTTTGTGAAAAATGTAAGCCTTCATCCTCCCACAAGTCTTTAGCCTTACACTAGACCTTTAGCACACCAGTTCTCAAACTGACCAAGCCACATCGTACAACACAGGCTAGATTCCTCCTTCACTTATGCAGATTCAAGCCTAAAGAATTCCAAATAAAAATGGAAACTAAAACCAAAACAATCTCTTTCAGACCACAATATTAATCAAAAAGAGTTTCTACCCCACAGTGACTGCATGTAGGAAACTAGTTCAGAAAGAAATAGAAAGTAAATAGAAAGTAAAAACCAGTTTGTATAGCTATCGTTTGGCTGTTGGAAATTATAAAGTATGAGTGATACTTTAAATAAGTAATCACAATTGAAGGAAGAATTATTTGGTGGTGAAAGTAAGACCATTAATCATTCCCCAGCTGCTTGTTAACAGGAATTTTCAAAAGTTTATTTTATAAAAACTGATTTTCACAGAAAACAGTATAGACAACAGAAACAAACATCTTTTTCATAGGTTTCTGATTTCCTCCTGTATTTTGGAGAAAAAAATTAATCAGGTCCAACTTCACAGCAGGATCAACTCATATGCAGGGAAGTTTTAACTATATATCCAGATTTTACTGATGTCTGTGTGAATCACCCTTCTTTAATGTCACAGTCTCATACTGGAAGCAACTCCTTGCCACATAATATGTAGATTTTTTTTCAAACAGAAATACCTTCATTGTATATCTTTTCATATGAACTGAATCATGGGCAGGAGGGAGTTTGAAATGGATTTTTTTTTTAAAAAAAATCTTTTCAGGCACACAAAGTCAGATAACTAATCAAAAGAAAAAAAAAGTTTCAAGAAAAATAAAATAAGAGTCCTACCAGTTTAGGTGGGGGGAACCATTACAGAACTACGCTCTCCTTTCAAGGGTCAGAAAAATGATGTGCTTCCTCTCGTCAATTGTGTTAGCTTACAATACCTGAAAAGCACCAGAGATTTGTATGAATCTACAGGTCCCCAAGATAATTCAGTTGAAGACTTTCTGAAGTAGAAATAAGCTTTTTCAAATGCCATGTATTGCACCCTTATATGAAATAAGCCTAGCCATAGATAGGTAGGGAAAAGAAAGTGAGAAGTGCAGTGATGAAATTGTCTTTCAAAACATATAGAAGCAAAAACAACTTAGCTCTACTTTATGCAAGAGGAAAGAGGAAGTATGGGAATACTGAAGAAACATTAAGCATCTCCTAAATATTTTTAATAAACAAACAAACAGTGTCCAGAGAAGGTAAACCCGGTAAGAAACACCTTGGAGCATTAAGCTGCTTCCTTGAGACTGAAATTGATCACCATGCTCACCTTCAACAAAACAAAAAAGTAGAGGACATCTATGATACGTGATGCCATTTGAAAAAATCAGGCAGGGTACAATAAACTATTGCAAATTTTCCCTCAATTCAGTGACAATCAAGCATTTCCATACAGAATTATTGAAATTTTGTATTTTTATACACTGCATTTCTCCCTCTATAACTCTTGGATTATTTCAGAACTGAGTCAGCATCATTACTTGTCACTGAACTCATCCAAAACGTAAATTATATCAACACTTATTCACAGAATGAGTTCTTCTGATGTGTAGCTCTTATCAAACCCTGGAAATAGTAATATTTTTTCCTTGCTCTAGGCACAAACAGAAAAGGAAAAGTTAGTTAAAGAAAGGAAAAGCAGTTTATTTTATGAATAAGAGGCTTAGAATAATGGCTAGATACAGGTTTAATTAGGTACAAGAATATAAACTTTTGAGTTTTGATTAATCAAAACAGACAAAATTTCATAAGGCTAAATGCAGTTGCAGATCATTTGGATTTTAAAAAAACAATAATTCTTTTTAAAAACAGTTTCAATGTTTTTTGAAGTGTAAAGCCTAGTAGTTTTCCTTAGTTTAAAATGTGTCAGTTTCACAAGTCAGGAAGACAGTATATTCTAGAGCAGCTGTGTCTAGAAAGAAAATATCATTATAATATTCAAAGCTGCTACTTCAATACAGGAGAGAATTAGCAGCGAAAATTCTTGGACTATCCATCTGCTGCACACATACTTACTCAACCGAAGCAATTCTAATCCTTCAAAATATTATCTTTTTACACAAACTGCTAGTAACTTATTGCTGAATACATTACAAACTTTTGAACAGGGCTTCCAACAACAAAATTAAATGCTTTACAAAGCCATTTTACAGTTACATAAAACTGTCTTACATCCTTATGTAAGCAAATTGACAGCCATTTTAGAGTCCTGCCTAAAGCCACAGTAGGGACATCACAGACCAGTCATTTTCACTACACTTGTTTATAGCTGCCATCTTGGACTAATGCCTCAAAAGAAATCTCTTCACTTTTCTCCTTTTAGTAGAAATATTTAAGCACTAACAAAACCCAAAGCATTCCTCCCTACCCACAGAATAGCTGAGTAGCTAAGCTAAGGTCACACAGCAGGTTTGTGCCCCGAGCAAGTCCCTTCATTTGTTTTGATCCTTCTTTCTTCTCCAAATATTTGCTCATTTAAATCACAGTATCACATCTTTAAATGGAAGAGGTCGTTGTCCTCCTGTGTGTTTGCACAGTCCAGACACCATGATACTGGCTGGAGCCTTTGGGCTAGAGCTCTCATTCCCAATCAAGATTGCTCCCAAAATAACTTATTTCAGTTGAACTGACAGTATTTCTCCTAAGACAAATAATTAAGGATTATTGATTCAGTGGACCTGTATCCGAATATATGAATGACCAAAGTTCTACTCAATATATTATCTGTTTTACTTTAGTTCTTGCTAGTTTACAACTCAAGAGCACTCAAAAAATAAGCTGAGGTGAGACAAAGGCAGGTTGTGAAGCAGTTAAATTACCAGCTGTCAAAATAAAGCTATCTTAACAAAGAACTTGATTTATTCACATTAGCAATAATGTATAAGAAATCAAGTAATATAGCGTATCTCACATTCTGGGTTAGGAAATACTCCCTGTATAGTGTATCTTCAGGCTGTAAGCTATGAGGGCCCAAGTGTACAATGAAGGCAGTTTCTTAAGTTTACAAGGACTGCTGAATTTTGCCAGCATGTCCTTATAGCAAATACCCATTGGCCAAACCAGTGCTTGCCTAAATCTGTAGGGCCATTATGCTGATCAATATAGGAAGTACTGAACTGAAAGACAATGGGAAGAGGTTTAGATGGATAAGAAAAACTGACACGGGCTGTCTGACACTAAGAGCTCCACTCCTATCGCTCTAAGCTGTGAAGCATTTTCCTCCATTACAATATCTACCAAACGTTTGAAGTTCATCTTTACTCTCTTGGAAAACATTCACAATGCAAAGAATTAAAGATTTCACAGATATTTTTGCTTTATGTCAACATTTAAAGACCCCAACGTGTCAGCTACCATACAAACATTACTTCTATACCAGAAACTCCCAAGATCACAGGGCACTGTCCTGTGAAAACACTACAAATCAAGCATTATACAACTGTGAACTGGAACATCAGATAAGTATTCACTTTGAAGATACTAAAAGGAGGTCCTCCGAAAAAGAAGATACTAACAGGAGGTCTTCTGAAAAATGTTTGAGTATTTTTCTTGAAATATTTTCCTACGGAGTAATGATAATAAAGCAATATCTCTAGCTCATGGCCACACTGTTACTTATTGCCTTTTACTGTGTTTTCTTCCTTCAGTAATCACTTTAAAATGTGTTTTACAGTGAGTGGGCAGGGGCGGAAAAGAGACCAATTCCCACAGGAGTCAACTCCTACTCTAGCTGCTTTCCAAAGTCAAACTTCTTCTGAAGTCTGGAAGTATCAGATTTTTCTCAAAACTCAGTGGCACACAGAGCCCAGTGCATAAGAACAGCAGCAGTACAAAAGAAGTCACACTTGTTTTGCTGACATGCACCCATGAGGTGTCAAAACAGGAAGTGCATTATTCAGCAGCACACGAATGCTCGGTATGGACCTTCAATGCACACTCAGTGAGTCAGAGCACCCAGCCTGAAGATGGATTTAGTGTGAGGTACCAGTGCTCACACTGAGTTAGTACAGAGCTGACTGTTACTAGTACCAATGGTTACCTTATTGTGTGTCAACCTTCTAGTTGAAAAGCACTTTAAAAATCAGGTAATGATCTACAAGTGCCATACATTATTATTTTCAGTAGACTGATGTGCTGACAGTGCATTGGATGTTACAAGTTCTGTTACTTCTGTCCTTCTCAAGTTCTGCATGAACCACTTTGACTGAAAAAACTTTTGCTGCTGTGTTCAAAGCTTTGAAAGGAGTACTCTGTGGCTCATAACATCAAAGTACGAAGCTATGTTCAAAATGAAAAACTTATAGTAAAGGTCATATACAGGGGACAAAAATAAAGCAGTGCAACTAATTATGCAAAACTTTAATCTTGCACCTTTTCTGCTTCTGTGGGAAAAGAAGTTGACCTGAACTGTCTGACATCTTCATTAGCGACCTAGATGATGGGTCAGAGTGCACCTTTAAAGTCTGCAGATGATGCACAACTGGGAGGAGTTGTTAATACACCAGATGGTTGTGTTGCCATTCATAGGGACTGCAACAGGTTGGAGAAATAGGCAAACCAGGACCTCCTGAAATTTAACAAAGGGAAGTGCCAAGTCCTACACTTGGGAAGGAACAACCACACGTACCAGTACATGCTGGAGACCAACAACTTGGAAAGCAGCATTGCAGAATAGAACCCGGGGGTCCTGGTGGAAAAGTTGCCCACAAGACAGCAATGTGTCCTTGCAGAAAAGGCCAACAGCACCCCAGACCGTTAGGAAAAACACTTGCCAGTGGGCGTCACCAGTGGGGTGATCCTTCCCCTCCACTCAGCCTCAGCTAGACCCATCCAAAGTGCTGTGTCCAGTTCCGGGCCTCTAGCACAAGAGAGACATGGACATACTGGAGCAAGTACAGCAGAATGACACAGAGCTTACTAACAGACCGAAGCATATGACATATGAAGAGAGGCTGAGAGACCTGGGACTGTTAAACCTTGAGAAGAAAAGGCTCAAGGAAGTATTATCAACATGTATGATGACCTGATGGGGGAAGTAAAGAAGATGGAGCAAGAATACTCCCACCAGGTGGTGCCTGGTAAAAGGGCAATAGGCACAAATTGAAATACAGAAAATTCTATGTAACCAATACAGATTATTATTATTATTTTTTTTAATACAGCAAACACTGGAACAGGTTTACCTAGAGAGGCATCTCCATCTTGGAGATAATCAAGAACAGTCTGGACATGGCCATTAGCAATCTGCTCTAGATGACCCTGGTTTGTGGGGAAGCTATTGGACTAGACTGTCTTCAGAGACCCCTTCCAAACTCAGCTACTCTGTGATTCTATGGACTTGGGATAGAAACAATGTACACTTCATATTCTCCTATCCCTCTCTTGAACAATCAGGTAAACATGGTATTTCCATGAGAAATTCCTATCTTGTTAAATCTGCTGCCAATATTTCCCCTGCCACAGCTGCCAACAAAAGAAGCCAAACAGCAGCTCTGAGAAGGTGCTCAAGTGTTCTGCGTTTCTACAGCTCTCCTTTTGATCAGCTGTTTTTTAAAGCAGTCGCAGCCCAGCTAACCCTAAATTGTTTGCCAATGAACAGCCCAGATAAGAATATTTTCACAAGTGATCATTCTTGCTTTCAGGTCTTCCATCTTCTGCTTTCGGGGTCTTACTCCGTACAGTACGCTAGTTCAGCTTAATAATTATTCACCCTTCTAAAAATATGGATGAACTATCTAGCTTCCTGTCATCACTTGTTTATTAGTGTCTCAGCAAAGAACTACGATAACAATGTTCGCATTCATTCATTTTTAAATTGTCAGTTTTCATGTTACATGCTCTCAAATGAGACTAGCAGACTAGCATCATTCTCTATCAGTAGACTTTTTTAAAAAAAAATAATAAATTCCACAGCACTTTGGAGGAAGAATAGCTGGCAACCTTCTTGTCCTTGAGAAGGGACTGGAGTGGGGGGAATATTCAAGTATTATTTTGTACACTTAAAGAGCTTCCCTAGATTCAGCTGAAGAAGTCTATTTACTTCCCCTGAGCTGAACCACTGAAGAATGGCTGAAGCATTTCCACTCATGCAGCATCCACAATTCAGCTATGGAAAAGGGATTTCCCTTTGCAGTTTTAAACACTCTTTCACATGAAAGGCACTCTGTGGAACACACTGTAAATGTAGAGCTATTACACAACTATTATCTAGTGATGTTGGCATGAGGAAGCTAGAGGGAGGAAACAGGAAGGATATAAATACAAGTCTACAATCTTTTATATTTCACTTGCATCAGGGAAAATCACTAGTGTCCAGAGCTCCAACAGAAACATCTGAGCTACTGTGCTGTTGGGCAAAGTTAAAAAAAGATAAGTGATATGCATTCATTTCACTCAGTGTTCGAATAAACTGGTAATAAAAATTCAGAGCCTCAGTCACACAAACTTGTAGGCACCTGCCTCCTAATGCACAAAATTGGATATCAACTTAAGGAGACTTTAGCCTTGGTGTTCATTTCTTCCTGCTGCTTTTTCACCTCCACCACTAAAATATTTTGATATATGACTCACAGTTAAGAACATTTAGGAGGACACATTCAAAAGATTTGAGCAGACACTGTCCTGGCAGGTTTTTTAAACAATGAAAAACACTATTAAAGATTACAGGAACAACCCAGAAGTTGAATGGGTTCTGGGAAGAATCAATAAACATCACCTTTGCTAGGATATTAAGAGTTCCTCACTCTCTTACTATTTAGCTTCCCAACTTTACAAACAACATTCCATTCTCTCATGTATATTTTTGTTAAGATTTTTCAGGGGAAAAGAATGCTTGTGGAAATAAAAGAATTAGTCCAAAATATTATCTACCTTTTAAATGGCTGGCACCCTGACAATTCATCTTAAGTCATAAGCAGCAAAACAAAAACTCACTGATTCTCAGTGCCAGTAATTTTTCAGGAATGTAACAAGCAAAGCTGCGATAACAACTGGAATACATCTAAACTGCAGTCTTGAAATTGTCTGCTTAACTTTAAATGCCTTCACATTGTTCTGGCTGTGGAAAGTGCTAGAGCTCTCTTTACATCTATTTCAAAATTTAAGCCTGATACTGTCAGCTTTAAAGTACTTCACAATGACAGAAAAAAAGCCTTCATATGTAAAATGGGAATCAACACTTGGTCCTTCTGCTTCTTGGAACCCAGCAGAATAAAGCTAGGACAGCAGAGGAGGACAAGCACAAGAAGAACATGGCTAGAAAGCCTACAAAACAAACACTGCCAAGAGCACACAGTACTCAGTGTGTGAAAGTGCAGCATGATCTCAACATAACAAAGTTTACTTCGCATAAACACCTTCCACAGATGAAAAAAATGTCGATACACTGACATAAGATATGTTTAAACAAGCGTTTTGCAACAGAGATCCTTCTCCTACCTCCCTCCCACAGTTGCTGCTATTAACGTGGTAGACCTACTGTACATACAACACAAGACTTCAAACAAAGGTTTCCATTGATTCCTATGAGCATCATCCTTCCAGTTCAACAATCCTCGGAGGCGATGACCTTAGCGCTCAGTACCGAGTCCTTCATTTGCTTTACAATACCTAGTCAAAGCCAAAGACCAGCTATGCAGCCCTGGGAAGCTACCACCCTTCAGATGGGCTCGGTACCTTAAAGAACTCTCCGTGCTTTTACCAAACCGTAAGTATTTCGCTCATTCGCCTCTACAGGCCTCCGGCCTTTTCCAGTACGTTTGTCCCTTTTTATATTTTAAGCTCAACTCCATCTTTGGGGGGACCAGGGAGCCAGGGAACCATATTCTACTGCCACCTCCACTCCCTCCCCTTTAACACGTCTCCTAACAACGCCACGTCGATTCAGCTAATCATTCGGGACGAGCATTTAAAGCAACCCTCGGTCTCCCCCAGCCATCGTCCCTACGCCCCTAAACCCTCTCCTCAACCCCGCCTGGCTCCGTCCCAGCCCCTCTCCCCCCGCCCCCCCTACGACCACCGCTTGGCCTTGCCACAAGGACCCGGAGCGCCTCCTCTCCCCCACCTCGGCCGACCCTCGACGAGCCGGTGGGTGGGTGTCCCTAGGCCGGCCCGGGGGCCTCCCCCCTTCACCTCGGGGCACGGCGGCACCCGGGGGAGAGCGGCATATTCCAGGCACGTCCCTCGCTCTCCGCGGAGGGGGAGGGGAAGAGGAGCAGCCGTAGCGCCACAAGCCCAGACCTCCAGCGGAGGAAAACCCAGAGGGGCAGCGGCGTTGGTGGGAGCCGAGCCGAACCCTTCCCCACCCCAGCAGCTCCTCAGCGGGAGGGAAGGGGCGGAGGGGGGGGGGGCCGGCTGGGCAAGCCCCCCTCTCCCCCCCCAGGGACCCGCTGGCGGCTTTACCCGTCTCCTCCGAACCGGGGGCAGGAGAAGGGGAGGGAGCTCAGCACCCACCTTGAGAGTGGGATACTCCTGCACCTTCAAAGTCATTGAGAGCTGAGCAGCTGATTCCTGCACCGCCATCTTGGATTGGGCACCAACCTCCTCCCTCCTCCCCCGCCCTCCCCTCAGCCCCGACCGGAGGGAGCTACCTACAGCGCGCGCGCGGCAGGACGGGCGATAAAGGCCTTCCTCCGCCCCATCCCTCATGGTGACGGGGCGAACCAACGCACCGCCACCCCTCCCCTCACTGCTCCCCCCCCCGCCGCCGCGGCGGTGTGGTACGGTCCGCGGGCCGGCCGTGGCGGAAGAGCAACGCGAAGCGAAGGGCGCCAGCCAATAAGGACCGCCCTTGCAACCGTTCCGTTCGTGCGCGTTACGCCCCACCTTAGAGCTTGAGAAGCCGCGCCTGATGGGGCAGCGGTGTGGGAGTGGGCGGAGCCGCCTGCAGGCGCGGACAAATCAAGGGAAATTACGGCAGGGAGATAGGCGGGATTCCGGCAGGTGATGGACATTTAGCCACCCAGTCGCAATAGAGAGGGGTTTCCCACCGCCCAATCAGAATCTCCGCTAGAGCTCAGTAGGCGGGACCTAAAAGTAAATTTTGATGGTGACTTAAAACGGCCGTTTTAACACCCCCCGAGGTGTCCGGGAAGGGGAGGGGCGGGCCGAGGGGCGGAGCCCGAGGGAGGCAGAGCGGAGCGCGCTTTGACGGGCAGGTCTTCCAGCCAACGGTGCTGCGCTCCCTTACTGACGGGCAGAGAGCGGGGCGAATGGATGGCGCGGCCGGGGAGGGCGGGGGG